AATGGTGAAGATAAAAAGATATATGATATTAAGTGGCTGGCATTCATATCGATTATCTATTTGTTACTAGTTCAAGGAGAAAACAAATAGATATATGCAATAAATTCTTTTATTGATTTATTTATTTCACATTTTTAGCAATGTAATTTGAAAAATGGATATCACAATCAAGTTTTGATTGATATATAAACAATGCATATGCTCCACATTTTTGTTAAATGACTCGATTGTAATAAAGAAAGAGGAAAAATGCATTTTACGTATCAATTCTTGATTGAAGAAAGAGGAAAAATGCATTTTAGTCTAAAATATTAAAAATGTGTTTTGACACATCTCTTTGGCCAATGATCCTATTTATCTTTTTTTTTTATTTATTGTAATTTTACTATATTTCTTTTTATTCTTACTATTAAGAAAATGTGTCAATTACTATTCCCTTCATTATTTTCTATTATTTATTATAAGAATTTAAATACCTCAAACTTTACTACTCCACTTATTTCTATTATTTATTATAAGAATTTAAATACCTCAAACTTTACTAATCCACTTATTTCTATTATTTATTATAAGAATTTAAATACCTCAAACTTTACTAATCCACTTATTTCTATTATTTATTATAAGAATTTAAATACCTCAAACTTTACTAATCCACTTATTTCTATTATTTATTATAAGAATTTAAATACCTCAAACTTTACTACTCCACTTATTTCTATTATTTATTGTAAATTTAAAGGCAAAAATATTTATCACTTAAATCTTTCATTTTCTCCTTAAAGAGTCTAATGAAATGTCATTTCAAGTAGCTTGAAGAAAATTAGACCATCCATTTTAACTCTCCTAATTATGAGATTTCTCTTTTTATCTAATTTCAATAATCTAAAATATTTACGTAATTAATCAATTAAATAATAAGATAATTGCTCACTAGATAAATTTAAAAAATGGAAATGTGTAACTCTCCAAAAAAAATAAAAATTAACATCCATTTATATTATTACGTTTCATGATGAACCTATGATTAAAGTTGGCAGTAAAAAAGTTGCACTAGCCAAAAAAAAAATATTTTTTAATTTTTTTCATATGTTCTTATTTATTATATTAGTTTAAAAAATAAAAATCACAATTATTATTATTATTTATTGTCCAAATTTTTCATATTCTTTATTATTATTTTTTAATGTACTTTTTATTGTCACAATTAGTGAAAAAATAATAATAAAGAATATGAAAAAAATTTAATGTAATTTTTATTGTCACAATGTAAAAATTTGGACAATAAATAATAAAATTGATATTTATTGTCACAATTAGTAGAATAATTAATATTTCGTAAAAAAAATTACATTAAATTTTTTTAATAATAAAGAATATAAACAATTAGTCCAAATTGTTTATATAAAGAATACAATAAATTAAAAAATAATTAGTCCAAGATTTTCATATTCTTTATTATTATTTTTTAATTTATTGTCCAAATTTTTTCCATATGTTCTTATTTATTATATTAGTTTAATAATATAACTTCTACTTTCTTTCTTGAATTTAGAATTACACTTTCTATGCTTTTCATATGAAAGTTTTGTGTAGATATATAAAACAAAGTTCAGGCTATTCATTTTATCAATTACGTATACTAATTGATATGCTCATATTTTAAAGTAATAATTGTAAAAAATTTAAAATATAAGTAAGAGAAATTACATGAACTATAAATTTATATAGGTAAATAAATTTATAAAAGTAAATAGTATTATATAAAGAAAAATATTAGCAAAATAACTTAAATAATTTAAAACACCTAAAAATGAGATAGCAACGTATAAAAAATTGGCACATAAAGAAATATGTCTCCATATTGTTTCAAGGAAAAAATATAATTCTCTTTTTATTTTTCTTGAAACTATTTTTTTTCTTTTATTGTTATTTTCTATTTGATTTTTTCATATATACATTTTAGTATTGCAATTTCTTAAGTTTTTTTTTTATCAACTAATAGAAAAAAAAATATGACCGCTCGTAGTGCGGTTTTATTAACTAGTTAATTAACAATAAACATGAAAATAATAACACATTTTATTGTGTATATATCATGAACCAATCAAGAATTGACAAGACAACTATTTTATTATTTCATAAGCGTTATGATTAATTAAATAGCTTGCCAAAAAAATTTATATGTATGATGCATTTTTCCTCTTTCTTCATTACAATCGAGTCATTTAACAAAAATGTGGAGCATATGCATTGTTTATATATCAATCAAAACCTGATTGTGATATTCATTTTTCAAATTACATTGCTAAGAACGTGAAATAAATAAATTAATAAAAGAATTTATTGCATATGTCTACTTGTTTTCTCCTTGAACTAGTAACAAATAGATAATCGATATGAATGCCGCTTAAGATCATATATCTTTTTATCTTCACTATTTTTGGTTTGCAAGTTTTTTTAATAAAAAAACGGTAATATCTTATTCTATTCTCGTGCACTTTGACTATATTTTCAGATACTTAGGCCCGTTTGGCCATGCGATATGGTATCATGTATGGTATCATGATATGGAATCATGAGATGAAATTGAAGGTTTGTTTGGACATGCGATATGGAATTTTTGTGTTGTATATTTTCTCATAAACATAAAAATCTCATATGTTGTAAAACTATTAAAATAGCCCCAATTGTTTATTCAGTCTTATCAAATAAACAAAAAGTTATAAAATCGCATAATAAATTATTACAAAGTTATTTGTTCTCCACTTAAGTAATTGTTTCATCTAACTTTAATTTAATT